ATTAACTCTCTAAGGTCACATGAACAGTAAGCAGGGTTACTTGAACTCCTCTGCTGGGAAATAAAATAACAGCATTAGGCAGGGAAAACTTGTGAGGCCATGAGCAGACCTGGACTCCTAATTTTCCTTAACACTTTGGCCTGGACACTTCTTGTTTTTTCACTTCAGTAACCTCACTGGCAAACTTGGGGGAAATAAACTAAATAATGTATTAAGCTCTTTCCCAGTCTAACTTTCTCTAAACCTATAATCACAAAAGGAGGTCAGGAGAAAAGACTCTTAGTCAGCAGACTACATCTTCACATTTCTACCAGCTTGGTGAAACAGCAGGGAGAGAGCGCACATCCATTCATCAAGGCTGGAGGGCAAAGGCCCAGAACTTCCTAATTGATATAAGCAGATTCTCCTTCTTTTTTGATTATTATTATACTTTAAATTCTGGGATACATGTGCAGAACATGCAGGTCTGTTACATAGGTATACACGTGCCATGGTGGTTTGCTGCACTCATCAACCCGTCATCTACATTAGGTATTTCTCCTAATGCTATCCCTTCCCTAGGCCCCCACCCCCAGACAGGCCCTGGTGTGTGATGTTCCTCTCCCTGTGTCCAAGTGTTCTCATTGTTCAACTCCCACTTATGAGTGAGAACATGAGGTGCTTGGTTTTCTGTTCCTGTGTTAGTTTGCTGAGAATGATGGTTTCCAGCTTCATCCATGTCCCTGCAAAGAGCCTGAACTCACCCTTTTTTATGGCTGCATAGTATTCCATGGTGTATATGTGCCACATTTTCTTTGTCAAGTCTATTATTAATGGGCATTTGGGTTGGTTCCTAGTCTTTGCTATTGTGAACAGTGCTGCAATAAACATATGTGTCCATGTGTCTTTATAGTAGAATGATTTATAATCCTTTAGGCATATACCCAGTAATGGGATTGCTGGGTCAAATGTTATTTCTTGTTCTAGATCCTTAAGGAATTGCCACATTGTCTTCCACAATGGTTGAACTAATTTACATTCCCACCAACAGTGTAAAAGTGTTCCTATTTCTCCACATCCTCTCCAGCACCTATTATTTCCGACTTCTTTTTTTTTTTTTTTTTTTTTTTTTGAGATGGAGTCTCACTCTGTCGCCCAGGCTGGAGTGCGGTGGCACAATCTCAGCTCACTGCAACCTCCACCTCCCAGGTTCAAGCGATTCTCCTGTCTCGGCCCCAGAGTAGCTGAGACTACAGGGGTGCCACAACTTCTGGCTAATTTTTGTATTTTTATTAGAGACGAACTTTCACCGTGTTGGTCAGGCTGCTCTCGAACTCCTGACCTTAAGTGATCCACCCGCCTCAGCCTCCCAAAGTGCTGGGATTACAGGCGTGAGCCACCGCGCCCTCCCTGTTTCCTGTTTTAATGATGGCCATTGTATCTGGTGTGAGATGGTATTTCATTGTGGTTTTGATTTGCATTTCACTAGTAACTAGTGTTGATGAGCTTTTTTTCATATGTTTGTTGGCTGCATAAATGTTTTTTTTTTGAGAAGGATCTGTTCATATCCTTTGCCCAATTTTTGATGGGGTTGTTTGTTTTTTCTTGTAAATTTGTTTACGTTCTTTGTAGATTCTGGATATTAGCCCTTTGTCAGATGAGTAGATTGCAAACATTTTCTCCCATTCTGTAGGTTGCCTCTTCACTCTGACGACAGTTTCTTTTGCTGTGCAGAAGCTCTTTAGTTTAATTAGATCCCATTTGTCAATTTTGGCTTTTGTTGCCATTGCCTTTGGTGTTTTAGCCATGAAGTGTTTGCTCATGCCTATGTCCTGAATAGCATTGCCTAGGTTTTCTTCTAGGGTTTTTATGGTTTTAGGTCTTACGTTTAAGTATTTAATTCATCTTGAGTTAATTCTTGTATAAAGTTTAAGGAAGGGGTGCAGTTTCAGTTTTCTTCATATGGCTAGCCAGTTCTTGATTTAGCATTTGTGGGTTTTAAAAAAGGAGTTTCCCAAAATATTCAGTTAAACTTTTAAGTGACTTATATGTATATTTAAATACATGATCAGTTAATATTTGTCTTAAAGGGGTTTTCTTTGTTCTTTTCTTATTATAGGAAGGTTAAACAATATGCTTATTTATGCCATAGCTTCACAAACAGGAAGGAGGTTTTAAATGGTTTAGTTCCACAATTTGAGTAGATGTGTATTTAAAGAAACGTTGTTGCATAACAAATACTGCCTCTTCCTAAAATGCATCATGCCAGAGCCAATTTTGGAAAACACAAATATGAGGTGAGTATATTTTGAAAACTATGTGAATATAATAGATCCTTAATTAATATTTGTGGATTTTATCGGAAATACTTGTTTTCTAAGGCATCTGTCTTGCAAAAAGTCAGTTTCTGCTGTGAAGGATGTTAAAGGGGACATGTAGGTTAAATTCTGTTTCTGAGTTTTGCTTCCAGAGTAAACACCCAACTTACTTTTGCCCTAAAGTATTTTATTGTTCTAGTAGAGAAGACTAACAATATATTCTAAACCGCTAAGTAATTTACATAAACTTCACTTACAAACTGTATTTGTGTGACACTTATATGAGCAAAAGCATTTTCATATTTCTTACTATATTATTCAATTCTTGCTCACCCCAATGGAAGTGACTTTATGCCCCTTTAGAGATAATGGAAATTAGGTACTTTTGATTTCTCTTAGGAAAAAAAATGAACTAGAAAGCTCCAAGTTTGGTGAATCTGGAACGTGGGTATTCCAATTCCAGTTGTAGTGCTTCCTCCCTGTCCATCACTCCTGTCTGCATGTAATTATGCAATACATTGAAAAGATTAAAAGATGGGTCTTAGACTCAGACAGACCTGGGTCAAATCCAGATTCTGGCACAGCCCAGCCATTGCCCCTGGGAAGGCCATTTTCCTCTTCGAACCTCATTTGTTAATTAAGCTAAAAATAGTCCCCACCCCCATGGGACTGTGGGAAGGATTAAATAGAATAATGCATGAAAAGCACATAGCAGAATGGTCCATAAATGTTAGCCATTGTTATGTTATTATGTAATCTGCAAAGTATGTTTAGTTACACTTCATGAAATAGTTTCAGTTTTTCAAAGACACCACTAATACATGGGAAATCAAACCCTGAAAATTAATTTCACTTTAGCAGTAAAGTCACATGCCAGATGCAAAGGATAGTATTTCATGAACAAAGATCTTACTTTTGAGGTTTGGTCTTACTTTTTTTATTTCATAAGGAAGAAATATATATATATATTTATATATTTGGTTTTTATTTATTTGTATATTTATTTATAATTTGTATTTATATATTTATATATTTGTTTATATATATATATTTATATTTGTTATTTATTTATTTATTTTTTTTTTTGAGATGGAGTCTTGCTCTGTCACCCAGGCTGAAGTGCAGTGGCACGGTCTCGCCTCACTGCAACCTCCACCTCCCAGGTTCAAGTGATTCTCCTGTCCCAGCCTCCCGAGTAGCTAAGACTACAAGTGCCCGCCTGGCTAATTTTTGTATTTTTAGTAGAGACAGAGTTACACCATATTGGCCAAGATCTTTTGCTTTCTATAGCTCCAAATGTTCTTAATGTTAAGACACTCTTAAGACTCTGAACCATATGAATTTGCCATTTTGGTAAGTCACAGACACCAGATGGTGGCAATTTCATATGGTGCAACCCGAAAGATTAACAAACTATCCAGCAGATGAAAGGAATTTTTTAGTTGCATTGGGATTACTGAAGAAATTGTTTGAATTCTCAGTGCATCTCCAGTTCAACAGATAATGAGGGAGTGATGCCACACTCTCAAGAGTTAAAAACAAAACAACAACAAAAAAATTAAAACAAAAGTACACAACTTTCTCTCTCCGTCCCGAAATACATACATGCATACTCCTGCTCCAGGTGAAATCCAAAGGGTAAAACTGTCTTCATGCCTGCAAATTCCCAAGGAGGGCACCCAAAGTACTTGACAACGAGTGTGCTGAGGAAATCGGCAGCTGTTGAAGTCACCTCCTGTGTGCTCTTGCCAAATGTTTGAAAGTGAATATACTGGGTTACCGGGTGTATGCTGGGAGGGGGGCATTAGCAGTGCTTGGGTGAGGGAAGTTTGTGAGTACCCAGATGGAGACATCCGTGTCTGTGTCGCTCTGGATGCCTCCAAGCCAGCGTGTGTGTTTACTTTCTGTGTGTGTCACCATGCCTTTGTGCTTCTGGGTGCTTCTGTGTTTGTTTGTGGCCGCGTTTCTGTGTTGGACAGGGGTGACTTTGTGCCTGACAGCTTCTGTGTGAGCGCGCGCGCGAGTGTGCATGTCGGTGAGCTGGGAGGGTGTGTCTCAGTGTCTATAGCTGTGGTTCCGTATAAGTCTGAGCATGTCTGCCGGGGTGTATTTGTGCCTGTATGTGCGTGCCTTGGTGGGCACTCTCGTTTCTCTCCGAATGTGGGGCAGTGCCGGTGTGTGCTGCCCTCTGCCCTGAGACCTCAGGCCGCGCAGGCGCCCAGGGCAGGCAGGTAGCGGCCACAGAAGAGCCAAAAGCTGCTGGGTTGGCTGGTAAGCACGCCAGCTCCAGCTTTAGCCCTCTGGGGCCAGCCAGGGTAGCCGGGAAGGAGTGGTGGCCCGCCCGCCGGGGAGCAGCTGGGCCCCTCCCGGGCCAGCCCGAGAAGAGGGAGGGCGAGAGGAGGGGAGGAAAGGGGATGGGTGCCTCGCCCCTTCGGGCCTGCCGGCGTGCCATTGGCCGAAAGTTCCCTTACGTCACGGCGAGGGCAGTTCCCCTAAAGTCCTGTGCACATAACGGGCAGAGCGCACTCCGAGGCGGCTTCTCCAGAGCACGGGCTGGAACTGGCGGGCACCGCGAGCCCCTGGCACCCGACAAGCTAAGTGTACAAGACGTGTCCCCACCACACCCACCCCACGGCCGCTGAATGAGGCTTCCAGGAGTCCGCTCGCGGCCCGCAGAGCCCCGCCGGGGGTCCGCCCGCTGAGGCGCCTGCAGACAGTGCGCTCACCTGCCAGACTGCGCGCCATGGGGCAACCCGGGAACGGCAGCGCCTTCTTGCTGGCACCCAACGGAAGCCATGCGCCGGACCACGATGTCACGCAGGAACGGGACGAGGCGTGGGTGGTGGGCATGGGCATCGTCATGTCTCTCATCGTCCTGGCCATCGTGTTTGGCAATGTGCTGGTCATCACAGCCATTGCCAAGTTCGAGCGTCTGCAGACGGTCACCAACTACTTCATCACTTCACTGGCCTGTGCTGACTTAGTCATGGGCTTGGCAGTGGTGCCCTTTGGGGCCGCCCATATTCTCATGAAAATGTGGACTTTTGGCAACTTCTGGTGCGAGTTTTGGACTTCCATTGATGTGCTGTGCGTCACAGCCAGCATTGAGACCCTGTGCGTGATCGCAGTGGATCGCTACTTTGCCATTACTTCACCCTTCAAGTATCAGAGCCTGCTGACCAAGAATAAGGCCCGGGTGATCATTCTGATGGTGTGGATCGTGTCAGGCCTTACCTCCTTCTTGCCCATTCAGATGCACTGGTACCGGGCCACCCACCAGGAAGCCATCAACTGCTATGCCAAGGAGACCTGCTGTGACTTCTTCACGAACCAAGCCTATGCCATTGCCTCCTCCATCGTGTCCTTCTACGTTCCCCTGGTGATCATGGTCTTCGTCTACTCCAGGGTCTTTCAGGAGGCCAAAAGGCAGCTCCAGAAGATTGACAAATCTGAGGGCCGCTTCCATGCCCAGAACCTTAGCCAGGTGGAGCAGGATGGGCGGACAGGGCATGGACTCCGCAGATCTTCCAAGTTCTGCTTGAAGGAGCACAAAGCCCTCAAGACGTTAGGCATCATCATGGGCACTTTCACCCTCTGCTGGCTGCCCTTCTTCATCGTTAACATTGTGCATGTGATCCAGGATAACCTCATCCCTAAGGAAGTTTACATCCTCCTAAATTGGGTGGGCTATGTCAATTCTGGTTTCAATCCCCTTATCTACTGCCGGAGCCCAGATTTCAGGATTGCCTTCCAGGAGCTTCTGTGTCTGCGCAGGTCTTCTTTGAAGGCCTGTGGGAATGGCTACTCCAGCAACAGCAATGGCAACACAGGGGAGCAGAGTGGATATCACCTGGAACAGGAGAAAGAAAATAAACTGCTGTGTGAAGACCTCCCAGGCACGGAAGACTTTGTGGGCCATCAAGGTACTGTGCCTAGCGATAACATTGATTCACAAGGGAGGAGTTGTAGTACAAATGACTCACTGCTGTAAAGCAGTTTTTCTACTTTTTAAGACCACCCCCCCCCCAACAGAACACTAAACAGACTATTTAACTTGAGGGTAATAAACTTAGAATAAAATTGTATAGAGATATGCAGGAGGAGGGGCATCCTTCTGCCTTTTTTATTTTTTTAAGCTGTAAAAAGAGAGAAAACTTATTTGGTGATTATTTGTTATTTGTACAGTTCAGTTCCTCTTTGCATGGAATTTGTAAGTTTATGTCTAAAGGGCTTTAGTCCTAGAGGACCTGAGTCTGCTATGTTTTCATGACTTTTCCATGTATCTACCTCACTATTCAAGTATTAGGGGTAATATATTGCTGCTGGTAATTTGTATCTGAAGGAGATTTTCCTTCCCACACCCTCGGACTTGAGGATTTTGAATATCTCGGACCTTTCAGCTGTGAACATGGACTCTTCCCCGCTCCTCTTATTTGCTCACACGGGGTATTTTAGGCAGGGATTTGAGGAGCAGCTTCAGTTGTTTTCCTGAGCAAAGTCTAAAGTTTACAGTAAATAAATTGTTTGACCATGCCTTCATTGCACCTGTTTCTCCAAAACCCCTTGTCTGGAGTGCCATTGCCTCCCCGACTGGAAACCACAGGTAACTACTTGTAATAACTGCCCATGACTTAATGTAGAATGATACAAGAATGACATGCACAGATTGCTTAACCCTTTCATTTGCCTTTGAATCTGCTGCTGCAAAGCTGCATCTCTCCTGACACTCATGCCCCAAATCAGTTCTGCCTGCTCTTAGTATAGCTCAACTCTCCCTATGGTTATTGTTCTGTGTTGTTACCTCGGAAACACTGACTCACAGAAGCGGAGTTATGGGCATATGTTTTTTTTCTCTCCACGCGCCCCCACCACCCACCTTCCAGTTCTACTTGTTTCATAACTGTTTATATTTATGTCTTGGCCATGTGTTATAGTGGAGCTCTTTGTACTGCATCAGGGCTTGGCATTTTAGGGATAAGGAAGATGTTCTTGTGAGGAAGCTACTCGAACATGGCCCCGTAATTCCGAGGGAAAATTAAAAAGGCATTGGTCATGGGGAGAAAAACTGGAGAACACATAACTGATGGATACCACGTGACCTAGAAATAGAATTTTAACCCCTTTTCCTTCTTTCCTTTGGTCCCTGTTTTCTTCTCCCACTGACTCTCCTCGGTTCAGTATAAACCAAGGTTCTGAGTCTTGGCACTGTTAGCATTTTGGACCAGATAACTCTTTGTTGTGAGGGCTGCATCATTGGATGTTTAGCACCTCTGGCCTCTATTCATTAGATGCCAGGAGCATCCCCTGCTTATAACAGGCAAAAATGTTTCCAGATATTGCAAAAGAGCCCCTGAGGTGTGAATTAGCCCCTGATTGAGAGTCACTGGTAGAAACTAAAAATCTCAGCAGATATATACATTCTTTCTGCAAGCACTTGATTGTGCCGAGCCTTGGAGAGGGATTTTCACAGTTCACCTAGGCAGTAACACACCCTCATCAGCACTCTTTCCATTCCATCATGCTGCCTCCTAAACTTGCTTTCTAGCTGCCCAAATAGTGACCCTGAAGTGTTAAGAAGGCTTCAGGTCTGTACATGAATTGTCAATGGAGGTGAGGCCTGTGGCCCATGGCTCCTGCTTGTGAAGAGATTAGAATACTGTCAAGAGGCACGTTAGGGGAAATCACAAAAGTAAACACATTTCTTCTCCCAGCCCCTTTCTATTTTTGCCTGTGTGTCTGAGCCAGAGCTTGGCCCAGGTTTGATGAAGTGGATCGTCCTCCTTGGCAACGCCAGGCTAGGGCAGATCGGCCTACAGGGTTCATTGCCATTTCACTGGCTCATGAAGCTGACTCCACTCCTCTCTTCCTTTCTATCCCAGCCAAGGTCCCCAACCAGAAAAGCATTGGCCTTCTCTGCTTCCTGTCAGCTCAATGATGGGACGTTTGGGTGAGCACTGAGCTCTCAGGAGAATGTTAGGCGCCTGTGATTTTGGAACATGCCGTGGCAAATTGGGGAATGTGTGTCATTCGGTGCTTTCACTTTTTTCCAAGGGTTTGCATACCTATTATCACATTCTCTCTCTACTGCTCTGGTCCCCACACTCAGAGATTTGGGCAGCTTCTTTGGCTAATCTTCATACTCCCGGTAGCCTCATAAAATCTCAGACATGGAAGAGCCCATAGAAAGTATTTAACATCTGAAGAGACTGAAACGCTGTGAGGCGAAGGGCTTGCCCAAGGTAAGCAGCCAAGGATGTCAGAGTGGGAACTCAAGCCAGGGAACCCAACTGCTATTCCAGGAACTGCTGCATTCTCTCCACCACATTAGCATTGAGTTCTTTCCTCACCCTCAACTGGGGCTATAACATAACACATTCATTTCGGCCAAGGTATTTTTCTTTTGTCCTTAACACAAAATTTGGAGCATAAACAAATAATCTGCAATAGGAACAAAAGAAACAATTGCTCATTTAACTCAGCAAGAGTCCACTAAGATATCTTCTGCATTTAGGGAAGCTGGGAGATTCCTTAGCCCTTTATAACCAAATGTCAGTGTTGTATATATACTCCTTTGCCTAAAGGAATGTCTAATGTAATTTCTGTGAAAAATTCAGGTATTAATATTAATTCAGATTCCCAGCTAAAAGGAGAGTTTAACCATATTCACATTCCTTTACGAATATTGTAAGCACAAGAACTTTGATTAGTTTTAAGGGTCCTGATAAGCAAGAGTATTCTAGCCATATCTTAATCCTTTACTTTCTACCTCTTTGGTGTGTTGCTTTGTTTCTTTTGAGGGGTTGGCTTTTGTTGGTGTCCCTTTGTCTCTCTGTTGCTGACAAGTTGGCTACCTAAAATTTGTGTTGTATTCATCATCGGAAAGTTTTCTTTGCCTGGACAGCAAGTTCTCAGAGTCTGTCAAATGAGAACTTTTTTCTAAGATGCAAGCTGACAGATGTGAACGGTGGCAGGACAGGGTGAGCCTCCCTACTGAATAATTAATGGGATAAGGAATCTGGAGAAAAGGGAGCTTGAGAATAGGAACTATCTTTGCACGATTCTTGGAATGTTTCTCATGGTGAACCTACTGCCAAATGGAGCCTAAACCAGAATCAATCAGAAAGTATTTTTGGAGAACCTACTGTGTGTAGCATGAGAAAAGTATAGGTTTCAGTTTCTGCCTTTTGGAGCATGATATTAATGATACTAAGCAGATAGCTTTTATGGAATCTTACTAAATGTTAGTGACTATATTAGACACCTGTTAGGCATTATGTCCTCTTCACAACTGTATGATGTAGGTAGCATAATTGTCCTCATCTAACAAACGAGGGAGCTGAGGCTCAGAAAGCTTCAGTAACTTTCCAAAGCTATACCACCAACTAGTTGCAGAGTCAGGACGAGAACCCAGGTCTCTGTGATTCCAGGATCCATGGAGCCTAGCACCCAGGCAAAACAGGAAGCAGCACGAGGTAGCTTAGAATCTGTGCCAGAACAAGTGTAAGAACTGGAAATGCAATACTTTGTTGAGAGAAGAGGGAGATTGCTGTGGGTTGAGGCAGGGAGGAATGTTCCCTTCCAAGCATGTTACTGCAGTGTTTCTGGGGACTGGGACAAAAAAACCGATCACTGAAGTGCCTAGTTTGCTTCTCCGAGTCTTTGTTTTGTCTTCTCATCAGAGAATCAGACCAAAATGGAAAGAGGATGTGAAACTCTAAAACGAACACAGCAGAGTGAAGCAGAAACACAGGCTGCCCTACATCCTGCAACTCTTTCTCAGCCCCAGCGTTGGAAAGGTCTCCTAAATTGAGTGGGTGGCCGGATTTTATGGAAATTTGATAGGTCTGGGTAGCCATATAGGTATGTTGTCCATCTTGAGCTAGCATTCTAGAGCAAAGGAGATGATTTTCTGACAACAGAGAGCAAGGAAAGTTAATATGCTTTCAGTGATACTTTTCATTGACAGTATAACCTCTACTAAATTCAGTCTGTGCTAATCCGTACTTCACTGACAGTGCAAATATAATTTGAAGGAGGGATTTTTCTAAATGCCTAAGAGAACAAACTTCCTAAGCACTTTCAAGAACTTGAGAAATTCTGGTGTTTTATGAATAATAGGAGGCAGGGTGAGGTGAAAAGAGCCCCCCTCCAACCTCCCGCCCACCCCCACTCTCTCTCTCTCTGAAGTTGGGTGAGGCAGTTTTCCTCAGCAGACTTCCGTTTGCTCATCTGTAATTTGAGGCCAGTACAGGTGGTATCTAAGCTCTGCTCCACTCTAAATGTAAATTTATACAGTTGTTAATTTAGAGGCTAGAGATAATCATTTATATTTCTAATTAGAGTTGATGACATTTGCCATATAAACAATGGTTGAATATTCTGAAGGTTGTCAGCCTGCAGAAGAGAATGCTGTGAAGTACTATTTTGTGCATGATAATTTCTTTTGAGTATGATCTGGGGGGAAAAAAACAGATTTCTCAGTTCTGCATGAATACAAGAAGGCAAGCAGAACCTTACAGAATGGCAGATTCCAGCTCAGGTATAGGAAGACTTTCAAAAGAGTGAAATAAATAATCTATCAGGATCATGAACCTCCTGTTTGTGGGAGCATTCAAGAGAAGCCCAGATGAAGCTCTGTTCGGGATAAAGCACAAGGCCTGCACTGAGCGGGAGGCTGGGCTAGGCTCTTTCCAAATCTGTGATCCTGTGTCATTGAAAACAGCAGACCTGAATGTTCTTAAAGTGTATTCAAACTGTTCCCTAATTCCAGCTGGCCTTCTCCCCAATTCCTCTGGATTCCAGAGGTTTCACTGCATTCCTAAATGGGAAACCTCCGGGGGAAATCAGGATCTCAACAGCGTTTGGCCATGGGGAGAAATCCAGAAATAGAGTAACAAGGTTAAGCAGTTTTCCAAACTATTAGACCTTTTCATCAGCTGCTCTTCCCATGCCTTTTGCAAATGACCTACTAACTCCCAGATCGAGAATAATGAGAGCTGCAAAGTCCTCTCTGCAAAGACTAT